TACTAGGTGGTAGCATGATGTAGTCTGGTACTCTACTCAAGACTTTGTGGTGCTACATACCAAATGACAGCCATCTCTGTACTCACTGCCATGAGAACCTCAAATCCTACTCACTTTCTCATGTTTGTTATTTAATTTGTGAATTGTGTTTCATGTCATAAAAGCATGATTAAGTTATAAATCAGGTTAGCTTAAGCAGTAATACAGCTGACTTCTATCTGAAAGTACCATAAAACCTTACTAATTCATATCCTCTGTAATGGGGTTTCTCAACTTGTGGTCCACTGATGAGTTTTGTGCATTCTGCCTTTAGGCTATTATATTTATTGTCAGACTGCGACACTGTGTGATGAAACTGCATAATTTGTTTCTGATATCTTTATTTGGCAGTGCCTGTCACTGTGAGCATCTGTTCAGAATGTCAGTGAAGATCTAGGACATGTCTCACTGATGAACACTTGGAGGGATGCTTGCAACAAAAATTAAACCTCATATTGAAAGGCTGCTCAAGCAAGAACATTGAATTAAATTGCCAAGTAGTAACTGATTTCTTCAGATAGTTATTGAGTAATGTGTGAGCCTGTTTGAAATAGTAGCCTATGTTAGTACCATTTTTTTATAAATTTCCATGAGGTTTCAGTAATTTGCCCTCATTTGTAACATTGCAGCAGCCCAAGAGTCTGTGCCCTGTCTTTGGAAATGGTTGAGAACCCCTGCTGTATAATTTGGACTGCCTTTTTTGTGTATGTACTTTATTTACAAATAATGCAGATTTTTTCTACATGGTAATACAAATGTGAGTGCACTGTTTGAACGTTGTTTTTCTGTCATTTTGTTAGTGGCAATGGTTATGTGTATTTCAGGTTTGGTTTGCCTTCAGAATGTTATTTTCATGTTAGAAGTTGGACACAGTGTTATGTAAGTATGGTATAGTCTTAGACAGATGCTATCTGTTGCATGTCTGTGATACTGGATGGGACAGACATTTAATTGATTCTGTTGATGTTCTGACCCAGATAACTTTCAGTCTGACCTTGTCTGAAGATTGAAAGTCGTCTCATTAGAGTGTTGTGAAACACCTGAATAAGACATGAGCTAGAGACTGAATAATTCAAATACAGGCTTTGTTGTTTATATTTCTATTTATTTATTCATAGGAGGTTGCCTGGCATGGCAGAATAATAAAACAATGCCTTGAAATACGGATTAGATCTGTGCTCTCACCTCAGAAGGCTGTTTTTATGATTTGTGTAATTTCTTTCAGTTAACCAGTTTTGTGTAGCAGTCACTGTGGACTTGAGCCCAGGAATTATTTGGCTGCTCTGCCTGAGGTTCATGGTTTTCTTCAGTCTTCTGAGGTTAATACTGGGATAGTACCTTTAAGTAGGCTACGACTGCCTCCTAAATTCTAATGTGCTCTCTGTTCTTAATGGTCTTGCAATTTCTTACCCTCTGCACTGACAGGACTGTGTAAATTCTTAATAGTAAG